GGAAAGCTTCTCGCCAACCAATTAAAGAGAATCCCAGGCGACTCGGCTGCAAATCTCAGCTGGTAAGCTTATCGCCAACCAATTAAGGAGAATCCCGGGCGACTCGGCTGCAAAGCTGCTTCCAAGAGCTGGAAATCCTTATCCTGGTGCATTTTATGAAGGAGAACTACCTGGCAAGGCCTTCCAAGAGCTGGAAATCCTTATCCTGGTGCATTTTATGAAGGAGAACTACCTGGCAAGGCCTTCCAAGAGCTGGAAATCCTTATCCTGGTGCATTTTATGAAGGAGAACTACCTGGCAGCCTTCCAAGAGCTGGAAATCCTTATCCTGGTGCATTTTATGAAGGAGAACTACCTGTCAAGGCCTTCCAAGAGCTGGAAATCCTTATCCTGGTGCATTTTATGAAGGAGAACTACCTCGTCCAAGAGCTGGAAATCCTTATCCTGGTGCATTTTATGAAGGAGAACTACCTGGCAAGGCCTTGCAAGAGCTGGAAACCCTTATCCTCGTGCATTTTATGAAGGAGAACTACCTGGCAAGGCCTTCCAAGAGCTGGAAATCCTTATCCTGGTGCATTTTATGAAGGAGAACAACCTGGCAAGGCCTTCCAAGAGCTGGAAATCCTTATCCTGGTGCATTTTATGAAGGAGAACGACCTGGCAAGGCCTTCCAAGAACTGGAAATCCTTATTCTGGTGCATTTTATGAAGGAGAACTAACTGGCAAGGCCTTCCAAGAGCTGGAAATCCTTATCCTGGTGCATTTTATGAAGGAGAACTACCTGGAAAGGCTCTTATCCTGGTGCATTTTATGAAGGAGAACTACCTGGAAAGGCCTTCCGCGAGCTGGAAATCCTTATCCTGGTGCATTTTATGAAGGAGAAAGAACCAACTGGTACGGTCCTTTGTCTGCGAAGGCTGTAAATCTTATCCCTGAGTGCGTTATGAAAGAAACTACCTGGGAATCCTTCCGGAGCTGGAAATTCCTATCTCTGGTGCATATCATTATGAAGGAGAAAAACCTACCTGGAAAGCTTTCCGCGAGCTGGAAATCCCTTAGTTACTGCTAGATTCCTTTTCTGCTTTCCTTTTCTGAAGAAGAACTACTTGGAAAGGCTTTCCGCGAGCTGGAAATGCTTATCCTGGTGCATTTTATGAAGGAGAACTACCTGGAAAGGCCTTCCAAGAGCTGGAAATCCTTATCCTGGTGCATTTTATGAAGGATAACTACCTGGAAAGGGAAATCCTTATCCTGGTGCATTTTATGAAGGAGAACTACCTGGAAAGGCCTTCCGAAAGCTGGAAATCCTTATCCTGGTGCATTTTATGAAGGAGAACTACCTGGAAAGGCCTTCTGCGAGCTGGAAATCGTTATCCTGGTGCATTTTATGAAAGAGAACTACCTGGAAAGGCCTTCCGCGAGCTGGAAATCCTTATCCTGGTGCATTTTATGAAGGAGAACTACCTGGAAAGGCTTTCCGCGAGCTGGAAATCCTTATCCTGGTGCTTTTTTCTGAAGAAGAACTACTTGGAAAGGCCTTCCGCGAGATGGAAATGCTTATCCTGGTGCATTTTATGAAGGAGAACTACCTGGAAAAGCCTTCCGCGAGCTGGAAATCCTTATCCGGTGCATTTTATGAAGGAGAACTACCTGGAAAGGCCTTCCAAGAGCTGGAAATCCTTATCCTGGTGCATTTTATGAAGGAGAACTACCTGGAAAGGCCTTCCGCGACCTGGAAATCCTTATCCGGTGCATTTTATGAAGGAGAACTACCTGGAAAGGCCTTCCGCGAGCTGGAAATCCTTATCCTGGTGCATTTTATGAAAGAGCTACCTGGAAAGGCCTTCCGCGAGCTGGAAAAGGCAAGGCCTTCCAAGAGCTGGAAATCCTTATCCTGGTGCATTTTATGAAGGAGAACTACCTGGCAAGGCCTTCCAAGAACTGGAAATCCTTATTCTGGTGCATTTTATGAAGGAGAACTACCTGGCAAGGCCTTCCAAGAGCTGGAAATCCTTATCCTGGTGCATTTATGAAGGAGAACTACCTGGCAAGGCCTTCCAAGAGCTGGAAATCCTTATCCTGGTGCATTCTATGAAAGAGAACTACCTGGCAAGGCCTTCCAAGAGCTGGAAACCCTTACGCTGGTGCATTTTATGAAGGAGAACCACGTTTGCTTGTCCTCAACCTGAATGGGGGCCATGTGCCAGGTGCTTATGCTCAACCAGAATGGGGTGCAGCCGAGTCGCTTCAGTCAACACAAAGTCCTGACACCAGCAATTCCTGTTTGCTTGCCTCAACCTGAATAGGGGCCAGCGTTTACCGCTCACACCGTGCGCTTTGGCTCAATATGAACAGCCTTAAGTCTTCATCCACAGCCATTTCGGGCGCAAGCCTCTGTCACCGCAAAAGGTCTTGAGAGCATTTTCGCATCCCTTGTTTCTCAGCTCAACTGATGCGAGTTGCAATGGCCAACCGCTGCGGCTGTTGGGGGGCCTGAACTGCGAGCTGAAGTGGGACGGTGGCCCGATCGCAAATTTGCGGACCATGGCCGGCCACGTCGCAGGCTCTGTGCGCTGGACAGCTGCTGGGCTGAATGAACCGGAAGCCCACAAATACCGTATTGCCATGCTGTTTCGACCTGTGAGCTTCTAGGCCCTTCAGAACGTCACGGTCGGCGACGTCATCTCAGCCATGGGATCTGAAGCCCATAGTCACGAAGCACTGTCGCGGCAGACGCATCTGGCAATCCTGATCAACGGACGATGGCAGCCAGAAGAGCAGCCAGTGGCCGGACCGTTTCTTCTCTTAGAAAAGCTGCCGCGATGCAGGCTACGGCACAAGCAGTCGCTGGCAGAACATCTGTTTCACGCCAATCTTCATTCGCTCTGACTCTCAAAATTCCACAGAAACGGCCGGTCATGGGCTACTCGCTTCTTCTGTGCATTGTTGAGCCATGTTGCACCTCTTTCTTGAGCTTGTGAGAAGGTAGGGACGGCCGAGCCTTCCCGTGCTTTTTGTTGCTTGTGCAGCGCGCTTGGGCTCAATTCGAATCGTTTTAAAGTCTTCATCCGTGTCCCGCTGCGGCCAGGCAACCATTGGGGTACAAATCTCAATCGTCGCAGCTGTTCGTTTCGTTTTTGGAACATGGCCGCTGTCTTGTTTCTCAGGTCGACTGGTGCGACAGCATGCTCGAAGACACGTGCGAGGACTTGGAGAGCAGAGACCACTCGATTCGCGACTCCGAACAGGCGGACTTCGAGGACGGGTTCGACGACTGGGACTGGGTCGACAGTGAGATGCAGCGCGAAGCCGAGGAAGATGCGCGTGAGAGAGTACAGTGGAGCAAAGAAATGGAAATCCAGAATGAATACCGCCAGCGTCTCGCCAACATGACGGTGAAGTACCTGAACATGCAAGGTAGCGAAACCCACACCTCGAAGCCTTATCCACTCTGCCATGTCGAACCGTGCGAGTCTTTCCGGGAAGCCTGGCTGCACACTTTGCACGAAGGAAACAGCCCAGATCGCCGTCTCTCCCTGCGCCAACTACGTCTCAGACGACAAGAAATTAAGAAGCCTATCCCGGCGGAAACGCTGCAATATCGCAGCGCCAGGGAAGTCTTGCTTCACGATTTGGACAGCGGTCCTGCAGGACCCATCCCCCTCGACACCACGAAGCTGGTCTTGGGCGGGGGCGTGATCACAGACACCTGGAGCTGGCGTGAACTGTTGGGTCACAGCTTGAGCAACGACGTCGTGCACGTGCAAGTTGTCTACATCTCAGAGAAAGCCACAGGCCCGTAGAGCTGCCCATGTGAGTACGTTATGTCTCAGCAAGACAAGCCTGCAGAGCTCCAGTGTGTGCCACGAGAAAGAAACTGAGCAGCGAGCAAAGGCAGGACAGCTTTGTAAGTGCTCGAGCATGGCTTCTCAAGTTGCTTCACTGAGCCTGCTGCAGTGTTTCGGATACAGCCCCTAGGTGCAAAATCTGAGGATTCAGGATTCGTTGCCATGGCCCCTTGTCATCGGTGCGGCTTCGGGACAAGGAGCGGCAGAGGACAGGGATGGTGCAGCAATCCGCAGTGCCGCCAAGCCGAAAAAGAGGAGTGCCTGGCCCAGAAGAGCGCAGAGAAAATTGTTTGGCAGCAACAACGGGCAGCGCAGGGAGCGGGCAGTCGTGGACCCTTGCGCGAAGAGAACAGCAGAAAGGCAGAGCGCCGACAGCTGCATGAGGAAAGGGCGCGGGCAAAGGCAGAGGAGGAAGCAGGCGGCCGTGGACCTTTGCGTGAAGAAGACAGCAAAGAAGCAGAGCGCCGACAGCTGCGTGAGGCAAGGGCGCGGGCAAAGGCAGAGGAGGAAGCGGGCGGCCGTGGACCTTTGCGGGAAGAAGACAGCAAAGAAGCAGAGCGCCGACAGCTGCATGAGGCAAGGGCGCGGGCAAAGGCAGAGGAGGAAGCGGGCGGCCGTGGACCTTTGCGGGAAGAAGACGGCAAAAGGGAAGAGCGCCGACAGCTGCGTGAGGCAAGGGCACGGGCAAAGGCAGAGGAGGAAGCGGGCGGCCGTGGACCTTTGCGGGAAGAAGACAGCAAAGAAGCAGAGCGCCGACAGCTGCGTGAGGCAAGGGCGCGGGCAAAGGCAGAGGAGGAAGCGGGCGGCCGTGGACCTTTGCGGGAAGAAGACGGCAAAAGGGAAGAGCGCCGACAGCTGCGTGAGGCAAGGGCGCGGGCAAAGTCAGAGGAGGAAGCGGGCGGCCGTGGACCTTTGCGGGAAGAAGACAGCAAAGAAGCAGAGCGCCGACAGCTGCGTGAGGCAAGGGAGCGGGCAAAGGCAGAGGAGGGAGTGGGCGGCCGAGGGCCCAGGCCCATCGCCTCGGAGATTCAGCAGCAGGGCTACCCTTTTCCAGACGAGGACACCTTGACCCAGGAGCAGGCACAAGCCCATTACTTGGCTTTTGCGCGGAGCTGGAGTAGATTTGGCCTTTCTCGCGTGTGCCAGAAGTGCCAGACTCTAACACCAGGGAGGCACTGCAGAACAGCCAAAGGAAGTGGCCAGCTGCTCTGCAGGAATTGCCGCGAGAATCGCACCAAGGTGGTTTTGCCAATCCCGGCCCCCATCCCAGAAGCACTGCAAAGTCTGCAACCCATGGAGCATCTCCTCGCCATGGCACGCATCTCGCAGGTCTTGTTGGACAAGCTGCCATCAGGCGGCCCGAGCGCGCAGTGGGGTCGCATGTACGCAGTGCTCATGCAGGATCCTTTCATCTGCGACGTCCTCGAAGGCGCCACTTTGGAAGAAGACGGTACAGTGCTGGTCGAGGGCGTGGACGGCATGACCGCATCACCAGCGCGTTTGGAGCACCTACACGCGGCCTTGCAGGCCTTGAAGGAACTGCACTGCCTCTATCAACGGAGCCCGGCAGTGGACAGAGCTCTGGCGAGAATGGCTGCCATCCTCGCCAACAAGACATCCGCTGCGGCTGCGGTGCCAACAGACCCACTTGCGGGAACAGAAGCAAACCAAGAGATCGAGATGACATACCTGGTGCCGAAGCAATTCCAGGCCCCAAAAGCCGACGTACAAGATTTGCGAAAAGTGCGAGGATCCGCAGACCTCAGCGATGGCATGGATGCAAAATTCTTCCCACACTTGTTTCCCACCGGCACAGGAGGCTGGAAGAACGACAACGGAAGCTTTTCCCAATATGCCCGGAAGCGTCTGCTGAGCCTGGATTCCCGCTTCGAAGCGTCCACGGCCTACATCATGTGGCTGCTGGAGATGCAGACCAAGAAGCGACTTTCCGGAAACATCAACGTCCGGATCGGCAACCAGCGGGTGCCCTACGGCAGTAGCGACTACGAGAACGGTAGCCGTCAGGTGTATGCTGCCTTGCGGGACATGCCTGGCACGCAGCCGTACCTGTACGCCAAGAAGGGAGTGGCGCTCAACATGTACGAGCAGCTTGGCGCTCCCAACTTCTTCATGACACTGTCCTGCCACGCGCGCCAGCCTGCGTTGCTCCTCGCGGCTATCTCGGCACGGCTGCTGCGGCTGCATCCCGACCGCCCTCAGGCAGAACTGGAGCAGCACGCTGCGGAGATCCTATTCCGCTACCAGAATGACAAGAACTTCACTTGGGATGGGTTGTCGCCCAACCAGTTGTGCAACCAGCAGCCGGCAGTGGTAGCGCGACAATTCATGCACCAAGTCTCTCAGCTGATGTGGTGGCTGTCCAGCACGCGCGGTCCGAAAGTCCACCTGCACGAAGATGCTGATCCACAAGATGGAGTCGAGGAGAACGACTGCGAGGACGTGGAGGACGACGCCCAGGCACCCGCCACGGATTTTGCAGGCCTTCATCGCCGCATGCGCAAGGAACGGCCTCCTTTCAAAGTGTTGGACTACATCATTCGCATAGAATGGCAAAAGCGGGGCTACCCCCACGCTCACATCCTGCTTTGGATCGAAGAGTGGGCCAAAGCAACGCAGCAGCCAGACAAGATGGCGCCCGACGGCGAAGACTCCGAACAAGCAGCAGAGACACCGGTTCCAGACTGGTCTGACGAAGAGGCCATGGAGAACTTCATCCCCAAGTGTGCGGAGGACCTCAGCGACAAGTACATCTGCACCAAGTCCCCGAACACGTGGCGCCAATCCCACCGCGTACCACCCAGAGATAGAGAAGTGAACGCAAAGCTGTCCGCAGAGGTGGTGCACAACCACACGCCATATTGCGGCATGTACTCAGAAGGCGCCTGTCGATTTGGATTTCCACATGATGCAGAGCCCCGGACTCGGCGTCGAACATCGCAGGAGCAGTACGCCAACAGCCGCTGGAAGAGCAGCCTTGCGACGAGACGAGTGAAGGGAGACAGCATGATGGGACAGTACAACATTCGAATCTTGAGAAGGTGGAGGGCAAGCATGGACTGCAGGTCATCTGCGAGCTCACCAGCGCCAGTCGGTACATACTGGGCTACACTTTCAAGTCGGAGGAGGATCGCGAAGCGCAGCGGCGAATGGAAAACATCCTTGCCATCCTAACAAGTCAGAGCGCAGGCGCCGGCCTCGACAATCAGAAGATCTACAAGGCAGCCCACGCGGCGTTGCAGGGCAGGACCACGTCGACCTTCGAGGCATGCCACCTTCTGCTGGGCTTCCCGATCATCGAATTCTCCAGGGACAACGTCTGGGTACAGGTGGGCCTCCAGACACCTGGACAGTGTGGGTGCCCAAGCATGAGGAACAGGTGGCCTTGCAGCAGCCCACTGACTACCGCAACAAGAAGATGCGCCAAGGTGGGAACCTGCCTGTTGCTCATCACTGGTACCGGGAAATGCAAACCACCTTCGGTGAACATGAGACGACCTTGCCAGTGGAAGGCAGGGAGCCGGTTTCCTGTCGGTTTAGTGAAGTCACCTTCCTGGACTTTTGCGCGGCTTTCAAGTACATCGGCGTGCAAGAACCACAGCCTCGCAGGCGCCCTGCAATCGTCGGCTACCAGAACTTCAACCCGGACGAGGAGGCCGAAGCTTTCTACTACTCCAAGTTGCTGCTGCACCTGGTGTGGAAGGAACCTGGAGATTGGCTGTTGGAGCAGGATGCAGGAAGCCATGCAGCAGCGTTCCAGCGCATCGCCCGAGACGTGCGCGGCCACCCAGACTTCCTTCGGTCGAGATGCTTCCCTCAGCTAGATGGCACCGTCGACGCCGCCCGCAAGCTGCAGGCCGTACAAGCGACGATGTACATGAAGGCCAAGATGCATCCGGCAAACCTGCGGGACGGCTGGGCCAACAGCAAGGTTGCCGAGGAGAACTACAAGGATTCCTTGCAAATATTGGAGGCACTGAAGGAGCGGTATGGAGGAGACATCGACTTCCTGGCCCCGGACTCTGTGCCCACCGGAGCTGCCCTCAATGCCTTTGCGCCGGTCGAGGAAGGCGAAGAATCATTCGAGATGTTGACGGTTGAGAACCCCTGCCCGGAGACCACGCGCCAGTGCCAAGCCATGGAGCACATCGTCCAGTCAGTTCTGAGGCAGCCGAACACCAAGGACACGCAGAATACTCAGCGTCTGCACATGCTCCTCCACGGGCCCGGCGGCAGCGGCAAGTCCGTGGTGGTACGCGCAGCAGCTCACGTCCTGCGGCAAAGCAAGAAAGGATGCATCATAGCGGCGCCCACGGGTGTGGCAGCATTCAACATCAACGGTGTCACCCTCCATCAATGTTGCTTGCTCCCCGTAGTGAACCAAAGCCACGGCAAGGCCTGCGACATGCCGCTGCCGGACCGCCAGAAGTTAGCCACTCTCAGAGACATCTGGTCGAAGGTCAGCGTTCTGTTCGTTGACGAGATGAGCTTCATCCCCTCCTGGATGTTGGAGCGTCTGGATCAGCATCTCCGTCTTGCCAGAGATCTGCAAACCCTGCCCTTCGGAGGACTGCACGTCATCTTTGCCGGGGACCTGTATCAGTTGCCTCCACCAAGCGGGCTGCCGGCCTTCGCCAGCCGGCTTTGGCTGCTCTTCCAGCTCTGCGAGTTAGAAGGAAACCAGCGGGCCGCACGCGACCCAGCCTGGGCCGCTCTGCTGGCACGCGTTCGGGTGGGACAGCAGACCGACGCCGACATTGAGGTGCTGCGGAATATGGTGATCAAGAAAGGCAGCAAGAAGCGGCCCGCCCCGAAAGCCGTGAACCTATACGCCACTCGCCAAGCAGTCGCCGAAAGCAACCGCCGCTACAAGGAAGAGCACGTCTTGAACACAGGAGAACAGCTACACGATTGCCCAGCTGTCGACACCAACGTCAAGACCGGTGTGCCGCTGTCTCCAGATGCCGTCTGGGCCGAGCCGGAGAACACGGGTGGCTTGGTAGGCCTGCTGCAGGTGGCCATTGGGCTCCGTGTCATGCTCAGATACAACATCGACGTGCGAGATGGCTTGGTCAATGGCGCCTGTGGCACGGTGGAGCACATTGACACCGAGAAAGCCGGCGGGGAAGTCGAGAGGATCTGGGTTTCTTTCGAGAAGAATGCTGGGGCCACTTGGCGAGCAGAGCACGAAACCTCCTGCGTGGCAATCTCGAGGCGCTCGGCCACGTACCTTGACAGAGACGGCAGCAAGGCATCGAGGCATCAATTCCCGCTCGTTCTCGCCAAAGCCATCTCGATCCACAAGAGCCAGGCAGCTACCTGTAAGGACGGAGCGCATACCCGCCTCGATCACACCATCTTCGCAGAAGGTCAAGCCTACGTCGCCCTGAGCCGCTGCCCCGAACAGGCACTCTGCAGCTTGGAGCTCTTCAACCCCAAGGCTTTGCGGTTCAACGCCAACGCAGAGTGGGCCCTGACCAAGCTGAAGGCGCAGCAAGCCGACCGGGACGGCCCGGATCTCTGGAAGGCGTTGTTCAAGCCGGAGCAGAACAAGGAGTTCTATGAAAGACGACTAGCTGAGATGGGGACGCCCGACTGGAACCGTCTCAAGCCAGACCACGGCGAGCGCATCGAGCGGCCCTGGTGTTGTGCACTATGCGGCACGGAGGCTCCCAACACCAAAGCTGCCATCAAGGCTCATAAGCGCAAGTGCCCGGCCAAGCCACCAGCCAAGACGAACGCCAAAAGCAAAGCAAAGGCCAAAGCAAAATGCAAAGCAAAGTTCGTCTTCATGGGCCTAGGCAAACGGGCTGCAGAAAGCTCTTGCGCGGCCGGGTCTTTGGCCAAGATGCAACGGACAGGCAGCCGACCCGATCAAGACACACCTGCAGGCCTGTATTTTGAGGCGCAAGAGCAAGCTCTCTGCGGCATGCACGCCCTGAACATGGCCTTGGGGGCAGCCTTCTTCACTGAAGCGGACATGGACAACGCCGTGCAGGTTGTCCTCGAAGAAGGTGGGGTGGAACGAGGTGAAGCTGCAGAGGACCACGCGGCGCCAGGTGGCTTCTACTCCTCGGAAGTGCTTGCGCAGGTACTGCAAACCAAAGCCATGGCTGCTTTTGGTCGTGTGAGGTGGCAAATGGACCTTCAACCCGTCGTGAGCAAGCACGATCTGGAAGCAGCTGCCGGGGCGGTGCAGAACCGGGACAACGCACACTGGGTGGCATATCGATATTTCCATGAGAAGATCTTCAGGTTGGACTCCCTGGCTCGTACCCGCAGAGCAGAGCAGATACCGGAAGCCGTCTTCTTGGCGGAGCTCGCTCGACATCCCGCGACCTACTGCATCCGAGAGGTCTAGCCGCGGCTGCCATCTCCTAACAATGTTGTGATGCCGCGAGGACACCTCTGGTGCTCCACGCCAACGTTTCACCCCCCCACAGACCAGCGTTCTCACGCGAGATCGCACAAGGCAAGGCAGAAACCAAGGCGCCAGCTCATGCTCATGTGATGGAT